CCTCGGCAAACCCGAAGGAGCCACTCCGGCTGCGGGCCGCTTGCGGGCGGCGCGCTGCCGGCGAGCGGACTCGACGGCGGCGGGGCCCGGCAGCGCCGCGCGCAATGCTGAACCCGCGGCGGGCGCCGCAACGCGCGCTTGGCGCGCTGTCCGCTTGTCGCCAGACTGTCGGCGCTTGCAACGCCGCAAACGTCTGCTGCCCTTTCGCCTTTCCCTCCGGGGACGAGCGGAAGGACCCCAAGCGATGCTGCCGATGGGAGGGGGGTTCTCGGGCGCCGCGATGACGCGCGCAAAGAACATAATGGCCGATTTGGCGCCCCACCTTCAGGAAGTCTGGGCGCGCGTCGAAGCACAGCCTGTCGCCAGCCATGAAGATGTTAGAGCATGTGTCCAGCAAGTGCCCGCGCAGGACCATCGAGTAGATCGCCCTGTTCGGCATGCAAGAACACGCTGTGCCCATCAGCTTCGGTCTGGGCCAGGGCGAGTCTAGACACGCAGTCCACGTCCTCGCGGCAATATGCAACCTTCTTGAGGTTGGATATCCAGCGGGTCGCGCGGGGATGGGGTCGGGGGGGGGGGGAGGGCGGAAGGGGGGGAAGGGGATTGATGGGAGAGAAAAAAAGGAAGATGAACGAAAGTGCAAGGAGAGGAGGGGGGAAGAAACTTCGCCGCCGAACGCGAGCATCAACGCGACTACCAGCACAACCGCCACCACACCACCAGCACCCGCACAACCACCACAAGCATAACCAGCAGCACGACTACCAGCTCAATCGCCAGCGCAAATGCATACAACGACGCACCCATCCTGCGTAAAATAAGCAGCCACCCATCAATAAGACAAACGTGCTCCAACCATCAGCGTCGGAGGAAGTGACAAGAAAAGCCCGCTTCACACCAACACTACGTTCGCACTTGACACTCGGCTCGCGCGAACGCGACGCTCACAGTGGCACTACGCTCACCGACACCACGCTCGAAATAACAGGACGCTCACACTGTATAACACTATGCTCACTTCGACACTGCGCCCACTCTAACGCTAAATTCCCACGCGCACCACGCAAATACTAACACAACGCTGTTGACACGACGCTGTTGACGTTACGCTCTTGGCATTACGTGGGGAGCACTTCGCCGCTGAACATGATTCATTGTGAACTTTCACTGTTAAGTGTGCCATTGGGATCAATCGGGATACGTGGGATAAGAAGCGCGGGAGACAGAGAAATGGCGAGGAGCGATAGAGGAAAGCGCGCCCATGAGTCAACGTGCGCGCAGACGATGAGCGTCGTCGCCTGGGGCCCCATCATTCGACACGTCAGCCCTCCTTCCCCTATCTCGTCCACTCCTGATCGTTCCCCTTCCATCTCCCCCCCCCCCACGCCCATTCTCCTCGCTGGCCCCTCCATAACAATGTCTCCCCCTGCTTTCCCCCATACCATGGCCCTCTGAATGCTACTCCTACCCTTGGTGCTCCTCGTTGTCATGCTGCTGCTGTTGCAGCTCCTCATCCTGCTCCTTCGCATTATCCCGTTCCTTCTCCTGCTCGCTGTATGTGTTGTTCCCGATCGTCTTCTTCGTACTGCTGCTGCTGCTGTTGCTGCTGCTTCTGCTCATCCCGCGATTCCTACAATTTCCTTCGTCTCTCCATCCTCCGTCTGCTCCTCCCCCTCCTCTTCACCCCCTCCTCTCTTCCCCTCCTCCTCCTCCTCCTCATCATCAGCATCATCATCCTCATCATCCTCCTCCTCCTCCTTCCCGTCATCATCATCATCATCATCATCAGCATCATCATCATCATCATCATCATCATCATCATCATCAGCATCAGCATCAGCATCAGCATCATCAGCATCATCATCATCATGATCATCATCACCATCATCATCATCATCATCATCATCATCATCATCATCATCATCATCATCATCATCATCATCATCATCATCATCATCATCATCATCCTGGTCCTCGTCTCTCCCCCCTCCTCCCTCCATCTACTCCTCCCCGCACGCTCACCTCATCCACCTCCTCCTCCTCCTCCTCCTCGCGACTTGCCGGTCCCTTCCTGCGGTCCCTCCCCAGAACTAGGGGGCCATATGCGAACCCTACCCCTGCCCCCCAAGATTTCTGAGGGGGAGGGTGGGGTTCCATTCGTTCGGAAGCTCCCGAGCGAGGTGAACCCCACCCTCCCCCTCAGAAATCTTGGGGGGTAGGGGTAGGGTTCGCATATGGCCCCCTAAGAACGCCCCCAAAGCCTCCTCGATCCTCGTCTTTGATCCTCCTCCTCCTCCTCCTCCTCCTCCTCCTCCCTCCTCCTCCTCCTCTCCTCCTCCTCCCTCCTCCTCCTCCTCCTCCTCCTCCTCCTCCTCCTCCTCCCCCTCCTCCTCACGCGCTCCGTCACTCACTCACTCCATCCCTCCCGCTAGCTCCCCTTCCCCGAGATCCGTGGACATCTCAAGATCGCCAGATGCCGCCGAAAGCACCCGAGGGCCTAAGAGAGCCTCTGGAGGCATCCGGCCCGCTCAGAGGGCTTTCGAAGGCCTGCCGCCCCCCCCCCGGCGCGCCAGCGGAGGAGCCGCTGGCCGCAGCAGACTCGCCGCTTCCGCCTCCAGCACGCGCGCAACGGCGGCTGGTTCCTAGGGCACGGGGAGAGAAAGGAGGCCCCTCCTCCTCCGACTCCTTCTCCTCTTCCTCCTGCTCCTCCTCCTGTTCCTCCTCCTCCTCCTCCTCTATCGCTCCCTCGCTCCCTCCCTTTCCTTCCTTCATCTCCCTCCAACACCCGCTTCCCTCCTTTTCCTCCTCCTCCTCCTCCTTCTCCTGCCCGTTCCTCCCTTCCATTCTCGTTCCCTCCTTCCCTCCATCTCCCTACATATGTTATTTCCCTTCTTCCGCCTGCCCCTGGTTCTCCTCATCCTGCTCCTCTTCTTCCTCCTCCTCATCCTCCTCTTCTTTTTCCTTCTCGTCAATATCCTCCCTCCATCCTTCCTTCTCACTCACCCCTTTCCCCCCCCCCCCCCGTCCGCGCCTCATCTAGTCGGGGTGAGGTGCCCACGAAAGCCAGGAATGTGGGAGAGGGTCAGATTGGCAGGGCGGCTGCCTGACCACCTGGGCCAGGCCTGCGGCAGCATGCCCCGTCCCTCGGCCGAACCGTCCTTTTTAAACAGGTCGCCCGAGCTTTGTTCAGCTCCTGTGCGTCGCCGCCTGCCCGATGGCGAGGCAGCCGCCCTCAGCACGTCGCCCCCGCTGTGGAGGAGGAGGAGAAGGAGAAGCAACCGCCTGCCAGAGAAGAGCGAACACGAGGAAAGGGGCCGCATTGGCTGGGCTTCTCGTCGTGGTGGTAGTGGTCCCCCGTTTTCCACCTCGTTCAGTGCCTTTCCACCTTCCCCCTCCACTCGAGCAAGAGGGGGTGGATAAGGAAGATTACGATGAGGATGATGCTGATGATGCTGCTGCTGATGATGGTGATGATGATGATGACGATGATGATGATCATGATGATCATGATGACGATGAGGATGATGATGGATGATGGATGATGACGATGCTGCTGCTGATGATGATGATGCTGATGATGATGATGATGACGATGATGATGATGATGACGATGACGATGATGATGATGATGATGATGATGATGATGATGATGATGATGATGATGATGATGATGATGATGATGATGATGATGATGATGATGAGGTGATGATGCTGACGATCGGGGAAGAAGAACGGGAAGGGGAGGATGACAAGGAGGAATATGGACACAAGGAAGCAGGAAATGGAGGAGGAGGAGGAGGAGAGAAGGTAGGGAGAGGAGGAGAGGGAACAGGGGGAACCATGAGGGAGAAGAAAAAAGGAGGAGGATCGCACGCCCCCGAACGAAAGAGAAGGGAGAAGAGAGAGACAGAGCCGAGTCCGACTCTCCGCCGCGGCCCGCGCGCGGCCCCGCCGCCCTGGCGACCCTCCCGAGCTGCGCGGCCCCAGAGCGCAAGGCCACCCGGCCCTGCGCGCCCTCGCCTCCGCCACCTCACGCTGGCGAGCCCAGCTAGGGCTCCCAACTTCGCGCTGCGCGAAGCGCGAAGCGCGAATAACTTCGCGCTCTCGCGCCGCCCTCCCAAAGGGAGAAGAGGAGGACGAGGAGGAGGGGGAGAAGGAACGAGGACCGCGAAGCGCGAAGCGCGAGTAACTTCGCGCCCTCGAGGGAGCCCTTGGCCCAGGCACGCGGCTGCCGCTCCAGGGCGCCCCTGGATTCACAGGGCCTGCGGCAACTCCACAGATGTCCTCGATGCCGGCCCTCGGGAGCTCCGTCTGCGCCCTCCCCCCCGGCAGGGGAGAAACCGGACGAGGAGGAGGAGGAGGAGGAGGAGGAGGAGGAGGAGGAGGAGGAGGAGGAGGAGGAGAGGAGGAGGAGGAGGAGGAGGAGGAGGAGAAGGAGGAGGAGGAGGAGGAGGAGGAGGAGGACGATGGGAATGTCCAGCGGGCGGCCTCCGCTGAGGCGAGGCAGGCCTCCTGCTCGAGCACCTCGCTGAAATCGGGAGCGGCCTCTCGCGTGGCCCTCCGCTGCCCGCGGGAAACACCGTGAGCGCCTCGCTTGCCGTCGCTCGGACGTCCATTTCCCGTGCATTTGTCGGTTTCGTGCGTGTTTTTTTACTGGATGGTCCAGGAAGGTCCTCGATGGTTCTCGCCGAGAAAAAATGCACACGTCCGAGCGATGCCAAGCTCGGGCGCCTCGGCCTCCTCTGGGGCCTCCTCGCCAGCGCCTCTGCCCAGCTCGTCGCCGAACAGCTCAGGCACGTCGACGTCCGCCTGCTCGGACTTCACGTGGCTGCCGTCACCGACGGGGTGCCGCCTCGCCCGCGCCTGCCGAGCTCGTCGCCGCACAAGTTGGGCCTGCCGACCTCCGTCTGTCGGGCCTGTCGGTCTGCGTGGCCTTCGGGCCGGGGCCGTTCTCGACGATGTGCACGCACTGCGTCGTGTCCTGCCGAACCCATTCCCCGCTAAAGCCGTCGGCGAGGTCGGGTGGTGCAACGCCCCCTGGAGGCTGGTAATGACGCCCGCGTCGCCCCCGCGCCAACCTCCTTCGCCTCGCCCCCTGGGCGCCGCGCGCCCCTCCAGCCAGGGCTCCCGATGTGCACGGCGCAGCTCCGCCGCTCCCGCCGCCACGAGGTCCACGCCCTGCGCCTCGGCCTGGAGGGCGACGTCGCGCCGCAGGCGTTCGAGCCGTGTGGGGGGCTTCCCCTCCGCTTGGCCTGCAGCGCAGGGGGCACCGCCTGCAGCCGCCGCGCAGACTCGCCGTCGCCGCGGACGGCGCACAGGACCGCCTCCGCGGCATCCTGGCGCATTGCGGGCCTTCGCCAGCCCGCGAGAGATCCAGAAGACGGCGATGTCGGCGGACCCTATCGACCATTGTCGGCATGCCGTGCGCCGAGCCGCCAGACGTCTTGGCGCGCGCTCCGCGCCATCCCGTGCCGCCATTCCGACCCGTGCCCACGCCTGTTGCGCCAAGGTCGCGCAGACCGCCGAGCAGGCCCTTTGTCCACCCACAGACGCCGCACACCCTGAAACAAACGGCTGTGGACGCCAAACGCCTGGCGTGAACCAAAGAGCGGAAGAAGACATAGCAGCACACCACGGGAGCAAGGACGCCGCTGCAAATGATGATGGGGGAAGAGAAGAATGACTGATAGTAGTAGTTGGGGGAGGAGGCGGAAGAGTGAGGGAGGAGGGAATCAGGAGGAGAGAAGGTAATGATTAGGAGGAACAGGAGGGAGGGAGGGAGTAAAAAGATGATGGGGAGGGATGAGGAAAGGAGGCGGAGGAGAAACAAGAAGAGGAGGCGAAAGGAGGAGGAGGAGGCAATCGGAGGATACACGCTAACAATAAGGGGAACGGCTGAATGGGGACGGGGGGAATGAAGAGGGAGGGAAGCCATGAGGGCGATGAGAAGGGATATTCCTGAACAAACAAAAGCCATGCAGAGGAACATTTGAGTTATGTGGTCGCCAACGTGGACGCCAACCAATACGTCTCAAGGAACAGGTTTTGTGGAACACGCACATACGTGTAATACATAAACACGCACATGAATACATGAATTCATACATACATACATACATACATACATACATACAAACATACATACATACATACATACATACATACATACATATAAACAGACATACACACATACACATGTGGAACAGTATAAGTGGTGCAATCTACGCGGTGCACAATATGCGGTGCAACCTATTTGGTGCTATTGACTACCTGTGTCCGCGCTTGACCACGTCCGCTGCTCGCTCGAACATCCCACGCACCCACCCGCAACTTAGTTTGCTAAACCCATGCGGTGGCGATTGCGATGCACGCTTGGCGTTGGCTGGTGCATCCCTGCGGCCGCGCCGACCCCAGCACGCGCGCGCAGCGGCCAGCTAGTTTGGCGCCGCCGACACGGCCGCGGTGGCGCTGACGGCTGGGCGCATCCCAGCGGGCACTTCAGTGCGAGTCGGTGACGTGGGCGGGCGCGGTATCATGACAACGCCAACTACGATAGACGCGATGACGATAGTGGCGATGCTGGTGGCGATGTTCGCACGGACGAAGGCGCGGCCAGCGCGGGCGCCGATGCTGATCACGCCGGCGACGATGACGGCGCCCTCGCGTCGGATATAGAAGTTTTGGCAAGAGATCGACATGCGCGCGCAGCTGACGCGCGATAGTGGCCCGCATGGTTTTACTTGACAAAGATCGTGCCCCCCCAACACGCGCGCAAAGGCGTGCGAATGATGTCGGCATGTGGCGGCACACGCCCGTCTGGCAGAATGCCATGAACAAATTGGAGCACCTGTGGTTTTCCCCAGAATTCGCAGGAGCGCGCGCGCAAATATTATTTGAAAATTGACGCTGCGAAACCTAATGTTTTTGTAGGGAAATGTATGATGGACAGTCGGTTTTGAAAACGCTACGAAACCTAGGTTTTGGAAGGATTCGCGCGCGTGCACTTCGTCCCGTATTGTGCGAAGGATTCTCGCGACTGCACGGCGCAGAGGCGGTCGAACGATTTCGACATGCGCGCGCGAAGCCCATGTGGAGGCATTGTTTGATTGAAAAGGCTGAAGAACCTGAGGTTTTCTTCAGGATTCGTAAGAGCGCGCACGCTTCTGTTTGAAACCCTGCGTTGCGAAACCATGCGTTTATACGTGTTTGGACACTCGACTGTGGAATCTCTCCGAAACCAAATGTTTTTGAAGGATTTCGGCACGCGCGCGCGACGATGAGCGCGTGCGCACTTCGTCTGATTTTCTGCGAGGGATTCTTGAAAACTTGTGATTTGTGATAAACGAGTGCGCGCTTGATATCTTTGCCAGAATACGGCGATACTTGCTCGGCTGGGACGGTACGAATCCACATTTAGGATGGATGACGCGGCAAAACCACACGTTAATTGCAATGCGAAAAAGGGGGGGCGATAAACCCAGGGGGGGTCCTAATTCATTTTCAAAAGGAATCTTGAATTCTACAGGCGAGTTGACACATTCCATGTCCTTGTAAACATCCCACGCACCCACCCGCAACTTGGCTTGCTAATCCCATGCGGTGGCGATTGCGATGCACGCTTGGCGTTGGCTGGTGCATCCCTGCGGCCGCGCCGACCCCAGCACGCGCGCGCAGCGGCCAGCTAGTTTGGCGCCGCCGACACGGCCGCGGTGGCGCTGACGGCTGGGCGCATCCCTGCGGGCACTTCAGTGCGAGTCGGCGACGTGGGCGGGCGCGGTATCATGGCAACGCCAACTACGGTAGACGCGACGATGATAGCGGCGATGCTGGCGGTGATTTTCGCACCGACGAAGGCGCGGCCAGCGCGGGCGCCGACGCTGATCACACCGGCCACGATGACGGCGTCCTCGCGTCGGAGATGGAGGTCTTGGCAAGAGATCGACATGCGCGCGCGGCTGGCGCGCGAGACTGGCCCGCGTGGTTCTATTTGAATGCCCCCCCCCCCCCCAGCGCGCGCGAAAGGGCGCGCGAGTGATGTCGGCGCGCGGCGCAAGAGGCCCGTCTGGCAGAGTGCCGCGAACAAATTAGAACACCTATGGTTTCCCCCCGAAATTCGCAAGAGCGCGCGCAAGCCTTTTTTTTGTTTGAGAACTGACGCTGCGAAGCCTAATGCGGGCTGACAGTGGCGCTGGCCGCTGGGCGCGTGTCCGCGGGCACTTCGGTGCGAGCCGGCGACGCGGGCGGGCGCGGCGTCGCGGCAACGTCGACAGCGGTGGGCGCGACGATGATAGCGGCGACGCTGGCGGCGACGTCGACGACGACGACGGCGCGGCCAGTGCGAGCGCAGATGCTGATCGCGGCGACAACGATGACGGCGTCCTGTCGTCGGCGATGAAGGTTTTGGCGAGAGTCTGACGCGCGCGCGCGGCCGACGCGCGAGAATGGCCCGCGCGGCAGCATTTGAAAAGGATAGCGCCCCCCCCCCCCGCCAACACGCGCGCGAGGGCGCGCGAATGATCTCGGCATGCGGCGCCAGAGGCCCGTCTGGCAGAACGCCGTGGAACAATTGATAACAGTCAATAGATTCATGAAGAATTCGCAGGAGCGCGAGCGCGCGCGCAAAACTGACGTTACGAAACCAAATTTGTTTTATATGTTTGTTGGGCACTTGGTTTCGACATCGCTACGACACCAGCAGTTGTCGATGGATTCTGGCACGCGCGCGCAATTCGCAAGGAGCTTTTTTGCACGGGATTCTCGCGACGGCACGCGCGCAAGGGCGTTCGAACTATTTGGGCATGCGCTCGGACGAAGCCCGTTTGGTCGCTTTTTTTTTTTCTCCAGAAAATGTTGGAAACCGATGTCCTTCTCAAAAATTCGCAGGAGAGCGCGCGCGAGCTTTTCTTGAAAATCCGCATTGCGAAACCTTGTTTTTTAGCGCATGTTTTTTGGGGCACTCGATGCTGAATGTGTTGCGAAGCCGCGAGTTGTTGAAGGATTTCGGCATGCGCGCGCGACGGCGCGCGCGCGCACTTCTTCTCATGTTTGTTAAGGATTCGTGAAAACTTGTGAATTTTGATGGACGTGTGCGCGCGCAGTGTATTTTGTTGACGGGAAAGCGGGGGGGGGAAGCCGGCTCGGCTGGGATGGTGCGAACTTAGAGCCAGGATGGGCGATGGGGCAGAAGCATATATAAATTGTATTGCGAAGGTGGGAACGGATAGTCCTTGGGGGGGGGAGTGTATTATTCTCTTCGAAGGAAAGAGAATACATGTGATGCGATCTATGTTATGCAATATCTATATATATATATATAGTTGTATATATATACATATATATACACAAATATCTATAGATGGGTCCGTCTATTTTACGAACGCCAGCCGAGGTGAGGCGACGGGCTCCACAATCTGATATCCGCTAGCACTGGCACGGGAACGATTCGCGAGGCCACGAGCGCGCAGCAGCGAGCACGGGCGGCCCAGGGATCGCCGAGAAACTACAGAGCGACAGACAGCGTCGGAACGACGCCGACAGACAACGACGCGCAAGCACTGACAATGTCTGAATGGGCCCGTCTAGTTTACGAACGCCAGCCGAAGTGAGGCCACGAGCCCCGCAATCTCATATCTGCTAGAACTGGCGCGGGGGCGATTCGCGAGGCCACGAGCGTGCAGCAGCGAGAACAGCGCCAAGGTATAATGCCCCAGAAACCCATTACTTGGTGCTGGACGTGCTGAGCACGGCTGATATAATATGTTAGGCGAGCGCATGCTATATAGCTATCTGCGGACACCCATCATCTGGCAAACATGCGAGCAGAAGAGCGAGCGGCACGGCTGAGCGATCCTCGTTGGAAATTCGCCCTGCGGGTTCTTGCCCGCCAGCTGTTCGCGCACCTTGCCAGAGACAACGCGCCCAGCTCTCATGCGACACCTGCGGGGCTCACCTAGCCCCGGGGCCGAACAGGCAAACAGACAGGCGTTTGTTTCTGCCAGGGGTTATCGTGCCCACAGAGACTACATTTTCTAATGCAAAGCCTGAGGCCTCTAATCGCTTGAACTCAGAGGTCAGCCAAATTCTCGAACTTGCCGGGTTCTCTATGATGCGCTGACGACGGAAGGCGGCAGCCCAACGAGCTAGTCTGGCGAATATTCTCATCAGTTGGCCCCCGACCTTGAAATTCTGAGCATCCGAGAAGCTGGGGCCGCTATGTCCGCGCAGGCCGTCGCTGGAGTCCCTGCGCGTGTGTGTGTGTGTTTGTGTGAGAGAGAGAGAGAGTGTGTGTGTGTGTGCGTGTGTGAGTGTGTGCGTGTGCGTGTGTGCGCGTGGTGGTGGTGGTGGTGGTGGTGGTGGTGGTGGTGGTGGTGGTGGTGGTGGTGGTGGTGGTGGTGGTGGTGTGTGTGTGTGTGTGTGTGTGGGGGGGGGGGGGGGGGCAGACCGCCCCCCCCCGTCTTGCTCTCGACCACGGCGCACGAGGGCCCCCCGCCCTGACGAGCTCGCAGTCGGGATGCGCGATGGGTGCTTTGATGGCTTCGAATACTTTGGTCCGTGGGGCGTTCTGATTGGGCGAGCCGCGTATACGTCAACGGCGAAACATCTGCATCCACATTGGGCCGCAGCAAACGAGAGGTGCTTCGAGCCCGAGAAGATCTCCACAACGAATTTCCTTTTCCGGTGTGCCCCAGGCGCAGGCTCGACGACGCTCCAAGGTCGGCAGGCAACGAGGCGATGGCGGACAGGCACAAGCCCCCGAGGGGACTGGATCGTCGAGCTTCCTCGCGTTGAAGGCGCGCGGCTGCTTCGTGCCGACGAAGAGGCGAATCGCTGGCCCACCTGCCTCGCTGCTTCGCCTCGGCGAGGGGGCGGATGTTTTCCCGCCTGTCTGCCGAGGGCCCCCCGTGTCGTAGCCGGTAGAGCACGTGCACCGCGGGCTGGTTGAGCTCGTGCTGCGCTTGTTTGAACACCGCATTGACGCGCTGGGTGCTGAACTTGAAGAGTCGGCCTGACTTTCTGGCGAGCGCCAGCCTGGCGATCTCCAGCCCGAGGAAACCGCGACGCGGGTGGTCCAACAAGATGCTCTCGTTGGTCGCAAACGTCTTGGACGTGCCCCCGCGCTCCTCTGGGCGCAGGTTCAGCGCGGGCGTCCAGGGCAGTGGGGGGCAAGGCGGCGCCGCGCCCTCGGCATGAAGGTTCCACGCCTCGCAGGGGCGGCGGCGCGCCGAGAACATCACCAACGTCATCGGCGCTTCGGTCGGCATGCCCTTCGTGGTCATCGCGCGGGCGATCGCCGCCGCGATCGCCCAAGGCGCAGGAGCCCGCGCGGCGGCAGGGCTGAAACGGTGCCGTGCTCGGATCGCCCGCGCCGCGCGCGGCAGCGCCTGGGCCCCCTTCATCTGCTGCGGGCAGAGGGCCGAGAAAGCGGCGCAGGTCACCTGCGCATCGCCACGCACGGCTCCGGCGAATAACCCGGCCTCGACCTGGTCCGCCACGCCCGCGCCCACCTGGGTCAGCGAGCCGAAGGGCCTCCCGGCGCCCGTCAGGTGCCGGAGGAGGCGCCCCAGCGAATCGAGGCACCTCTTCCAGATCACGGCCTTCGCCGCGGACACGGTGAGGACGTTGGGGGGTGGATGGCCGAAGCGCATGGCCATGTCCTTCACCTCTTGCGCGAGCTCGCTCGAAAGCAGGTCCGAGCGCGTCGACTGGGGCGGGGCCCTAGGCGAAACGCGTGCTGGGCGAGGAGGCCAGCGGCGCCTCGACGCCTTCCCAGAGCCTGGGGCCCACATCCGCCGCATTCAACTCAGACGGATGCCAGCGGCGCGGCAGCGCAACATCTCCCGCGATACATAGTGCAAGCACCTTACAAATACATAGACTGACACCTAAAGCAGCCGAACGCCCTTCCTCACAAGCCAAAACGAGCGACATATTATCCCCAAGATGCAGACGTCGTAACCCAATAATCTGGAGGGAACGAAGTTTATGTCGTAGAGCTGATGCCGTTCCCCTTCCCTCCCAAATCATGGCGTTTTCCTTTTTGACGAATGTCGCGGTGTAGTCCAATTGCCATCGTTCGGGGTCAAGCCGCGTTCTAGGGGCCTCCGGGAAAACTGGGTTCTCCTCCGTCGTCTTGATTCCCTCCTCCTCCTTGTCGACCTTTGGGGGGGCCACGGCGGCGACGTCATTGAACGCGTCGGGGTCCTCGAGGGCCCACCTGCGAGCCTGTTCTGCGGGGGCCTCGGCGCGACATCGAGACTTCGCCTTGAATCCGCCGACCTGGGAGACATCCTCGGCCGAAGAGTTCCTGGAGCACGCTGCGTAACCGCTGGGACAGGCACCAGAACAGGTAACGTTAGGACTCCATGGCTAGTCCAGTCTTGCGAAGCAGAACGGAAGCAGGTTGCTGAAAGTGCGAATTTCCTGAGAAGCGCTCTTCCACGACCGACGCCGTGACGATTGATGAGCACGGATGATGAAATGGACCTCTGCGACCGCGCTAATCCAAGCGCGCGCGGCGGCCTGCTAGTCTGGCGCGACCCACGCGGCCGCGGCGGCGCTGACCGCTGGGCGCGCCCCGGCGGGCACATCAGCGCGGTGTCATGGCAGCGTCGGCGGCGGTCGACGCGACGATGACAGTAGCGATGCTGGCGACGATGTTGACAACGACGACGGCGCGGCCAGCGCGGGCGCAGACTCTGATCGCGCCGACGACGACGACGGCGCCCTCGCGTCGGCGATGACGGTTTTGGAAACAGTTGGACATGCATGTGCGGCCGACGCGCGAGAGTGGCTCGCGTGGTTTTTTCGACGCGGATTGCACCCCCCCAGCGCGCGCGCGAGGTCGTGCGAATGCTGTCGGCATGCGGCGACAGAAACCCCTTGGGCAGAATTCCATGAACCTGTTGAAAAACCGATGTTGTTCTTAAGAGGTCGCAAAAGCGCGAGCGCGCATTTTCTTTTGTTCTTATATAATATAAAAAACGACGTTGCGAAGCCAGATGCTTTTTTATGTGTGTTTCGGGCACTCGGTTGTGCAATCGCTGCGAAACCGAAGGTGTTTGACGGATTTTGGCATGTGCGCGCGACGACGCGTGCGAGCTCAATCGGTTCGGCTGGCGCCTCGAGGTCTACGCCTTGGTCCTACTCGACTCGAGTCAAGAGCGCGAGCGCGCGCGCTGTGCCCCTCGCGAAAGGCCTCAAGCAGGCGCTGCTTCGTGCCGGCTGAGCTTCCGCGCGCGAGGCAGCCCGCGCCTCAGGAACGGCAGTGCTGACCGCGTCAGACAAGCTATTCACCTCGCCAAGGCACTGGGGAATGTTGGAAGGCTGAGCCCGACGAACTCACGTCGTGTAGTCGTACTGTTCGTGATGACGAGCAATCCACCACATCTGGCGGCGCGGTGCGCTCGAGCACAACGAGAAGAACTACGCAATTCTGAAGCAGCAGTACAAACATGGAAGCCACCCATAAGAATCCACGGCGCTGCAAGGGTCCAACCGAACCCAAATAAACGTGGCAACCAGCCCATATGTTCACCCGGTGCCCGAAAGCCAGACACTACATGTACGGTGCGAACAACAAACACAGCCCGCTTAGCTGACAACTATTTTGTTTGAAAAAAATCCAAAAGGAAGCGCACCAGAAGCCAGGGACCTGCAAATCCAAAACCCACGACTCTCTGCGGGACCTGCCACTCGATTCCCATGTCGCACTCGATGGGAGGTGAAGGCAGGGGTACAGTGTGGCCTCCGCCCCATTTGATCCTACACGCAGACGCACTAGCGTTTGGCGAGCCTACACATCCCAGGGAGGACGAGATGCTCGCAACAGGAAGATCGCATCACACATCGATGCCACTTTCTGGGCGACATTGAACACAACCGCATCCCAACTGGTCGCGTGGGAGAATGGAAACTCGCTGGTCTGAGGCGCGGGCCTGACGCGATGGCGGCTCATTGGGCGCTCATGACTGCTAACGAGACCCTGCAGCAGCCCAATGGGCCGCAAGGAAGGGAGGTACTGGCCCAGATGGTGCTGCAAGACCCGCAGCTCGAGCTGGTGGAATCATCCGGAACTGTTGGAACACGGGGTTGAAACCAGTAGCTGCGTCCGAACGTGCTGTCGTAGCTCGCGTGACAGCCTTCTGGGAGGCCTGCTTTGCCAACGAGTGCTCAAATATACTATGGCTGTCTGCTGCCAACACGCCATCGACAGCACGATGTTCGGGCTGCTGTAGCTCTTCCAATATATCAGCACCCAACTGAGACTCAGCAGCGTCAGACATGCCCACATCGAAGTGCAGCTTCGCCTGCATCTGCTTTGCAGACTACCACACGTCGAACTGCTGATTGCGCTGGCCGCACCTAAGCGGAGCGCCGCCTCGTCCATCACCAAGGTTGGGAGATGTTGGTGGCCTCGCAGGTTGCTAAGCTTGATTCGCACCGCCGCCATCCCCTCAGCAGAAACAGCATGACGAAGAGCTCCAGCAAAAGGCGTAGCTCCTATCAAGAAGAGGAGGATGAGGAGGAGAAGGATGTCGGGGGGAGCGCGGGGAGGAGCAGAGAGACGAGGAGCAGAGGCATGGGACACACGAAGGAGAAAGGGAGTGGGGAGGCGAGGAGGAGCAGCAGCAGCAGGAGGGAGACCAGGAGGAGAACGGGGAACAGGGCGGGAAGAAGGGGAGAGGACGAGAGGAGAAGATGAGGGCGCAGAAGGGGCAGTCGTCATGTCAATCGTGGTGTGGTTGCCAAAACAGAATGGCATTTTTCTCCGGCCACTCACCGCCAGGCGTCGCCGCTCAAAAACTCGATCTCTGCTGTGGCCGTCTTTTGGGATGACGGCATGGAAGACTCTGAGAATCGGGAGGACGAGGGGGCGGGCGACGAGGGAGGAGGCGGATGACAAGGAGGGGGATGCGGATTGGAGGAGGGAGGATCAGGAAGACGACGAGGTCAATGGGGGGGCTCATCAGGAAACCGTAATTCTTGGGAAGGAGGGTGCGAATCAGGAAGCCGTAGGTAGATTTTGGGAAGGGGGATGCGGAGCATGATGATGGTGACGACGATGACGACGATGCTGACGACGATGACGATGGCGACTACGATGATGATGATGATGATGATGATGATGAAAGTGAAGATGATGACGCTGATTATGACAATCGTAAGGATGATGATGATGCTACTGATGCTGCTGATGATGATTTTATTGATTACGATGCTGAGACTGATGCTATGATGTTGATGATGATGACGACGATACCGATAATGATGATGATGGTGATGACGGCTATGATGATGTTGGTGATCGTTGTGTTGGTGATGCTGCTGCTGATGATGATGCTGATGAAGGTAAGGATGATTATGATGCTGATGATGGCGATGGTAATGATGATGATTCTGGTCATGACACCGGTCGTAACGATGATGCTGATGATGATAATAATGATGATGCTGATGATGCTGAATATGATGGTGGTGGTGGTGATGACGATGTGGTGATGAAGATGACGCTGATGATGGTGATGCTGATGGTGACGATACTGACAATGATGATGAAGAAGAATGCGACGAGTATGATGATGGTGATGATGATGGCACTGATGATGATGATGATGACGATGATGGTGCTGGTGATGACGAGGATGGAGATGATGCTGACGGTGGGCACGTTGTTGATGATGACTGATGATGTTGGTTGCGATGCTGGAACCGATGATGATGGTGTTGATGTTGATGATGCCGATGATGATGCTGATGATGATGTCGATGGCTCCGACAATGCTATTGACGATGATGGCGATGACGACGATACCGATAATGATGATGGTGAAGACGGCTATGATGATGTTGGTGATCGTTGAGATGTTGATGATGCTGATGATGATGGAAGGTGGGGATGATTATGATGCTGATGATGGCGATGGTGATGGTGATGATGCTGGTCACGACACCGATAGTAACGATGATGCTGATGATGACAATAATGATGATGCTGTTGATGCTTAATATGATGGTGGTGGTGGCTATGACGATGTGGTGATGAAGATGACGCCGATGATGGTGATGATATTGATGATGATGATGAAGAAAAATGCGACGAGTATGATGATTGTGAGGATGACGATGGCACTGATGATGATGATGATGCTGGTGATGACGGATGGAGATGAAGCTGACGGTGGGCACGTTGTTGATGATGACTCATGATGTTGGTTGCGATGCTGGAACCGATGGTGATGGTGTTGATGATGATACTGCCGATGATGATGAAGATGTCGATGGCGCCGACAATGCTATTGACGATGATGGCGATGACGACGATACCGAAAATGATGATGGTGATGACGGCTATGATAATGTTGGTGATCGTTGTGATGTTGATGATGCTGATGATGATGAAGGTGGGGATGATTATGATGCTGATGATGGCGATGGTGATGGTGATGATGCTGGTCACAACACCGATAGTAACGATGATGCTGATGATGACAATAATGATGATGCTGTTGATGCTTAATATGATGGTGGTGGTGGCTATGACGATGTGGTGATGAAGATGACGCCGATGATGGTGATGATGGTGACGATGATGATGAAGAAAAATGCGACGAGTATGATGATTGTGAGGATGATGATGGCACTGATGATGATGATGATGATGATGATGATGATGATGCTGGTGATGACGAGGATGAAGATGATGCTGACGGTGGGCACGTTGTTGATGATGGTGGCTGATGATGTTGGTTGCGATGCTGGAACCGATGATGATGGTGTCGATGGTTATGGTATGATGATGATGATCATGCCGATGGCGACGACAATGCTATTGACAATGATTGCGATGTCGACGATGGTGACGATGATGCTGATGATGATGATGATGATGATGATGATGATGATGATGATGGTGTTGACGACGTAGGTGATAATGTTGGTGATGATTTGGATGCTTATTATGACGATGATTGCGATGCTGACGATGATGATGGTGCTGTTGATGATGATGACGATGATGAACACGATGATGACGAGGAGCAGGAGCAAGAAGAAGAGGAGGAACAGAACGAAGATGAATCTGACTAATATGATACGGAAATAGAGACGAATCACATGAGGCAGTGGTACAGGAGGAGGGGGGACAACGCGAGGGATGAGGAAAAAGCCTGGCGAGGGGCCCAACCATAGGCAACTGTGGGTACCGTCCTTGTGAGTATTGCTGTCGGTTCTTATGGGGCCATGAAGCGCGTGAAAGGTGTGCCAAAATGCGGCGGGCCCGCCATGCGGGCGCTGCCACTGGGGCCGTAGGTGGAGCTCCCTGTGGGGCACGAAGAGTGTGAAATGTTCGCGGAGATGGAAAAAAGGAACAGCATGCGGGCGCTGCCTCTGGTGCCTTAGGTGGAACCCCCTTATGGGGTCACGAACCGTGAGAGGGGTGCACCGAAGTTGGGGGTGAACCCGCATGCGGGCGCTGCCACCGGGGTCTTCGGTGGAGCTCCCTGTGAGACCTCAAAGCGTGGGAGGGGTGCGCCGAAATGGAGGGTGAAACTGCATGCAAGCGCTGCCCCTGGGGCCCTCGGTGGAACTTCCAATGGGGCCACGAACCGTGTGATGGGTGCGCCGAAATGACGGGTGGAACTACCTGCGGGCGCTGCCACTGGGGCCTTCGGTGGAGCTCCCTGCGGGGCCACGAAACGTGTGAGGGGTGCACCGAAATCGGTGGTGGAACCGCATGCGGGCGCTGCCATAGGGGCCCTCCCCTGTGGGGCCACGAAGCGTGTGCGGGGTGTGCCGAAATGGAGGGCGGAACTGCCTGCGGGCGCTGCCACTGGGGCCCTCGGTGGAGCTCCCTATGGGGCAACGAAACGTGTGAGGGGTGTGCCGAAATGGAAGGTGGAACTGCATGCGGGCGCTGCCACTGGGGCCGTAGGTGGAGCTCCCTATGAGGCCGCGAACCGTTTGAGGAGTGCGCCGAAATGACGGGTGGAACTGCATGCGGGCGCTGCCACTGGGGCCTTGGGTGGAGCTCCCTATGGGATCACGAAGCGTGTGAGGAGTGCACCGACATGGGGGTGGAACTGCATGCGGGCGCTGCCACCAGGGCCTCGGTGGAGCTCCCTACGGGGCCACGAAAAATGTGAGCGGTGTGCTGAACTGGAAGGTGGAACTGCATGCGGGCGCTGCCACTGGGGCCTTCGGTGGAGCTCCCTATGGGGCCACGAAACGTATGAGGAGTGCACCGACATGGGTGTGAAAGCGCATGTGGGCGCTGCTTCTGGGGCCTTACGTGGAGCTCCCTATGGGGCCACAAAACGAATGAGGGGTGTGCCGGCATGGGGGTGTGAAGGATGGAGGACCTGGAGGAGGGGAGGATGAGAGGGGAGAAGAGGAGTAGAGGAGGAGACGCGCGGCGCTGTCTATTCAAAGCGAGGACCCCACAAAACAGGATTGTTCTGAAAAAAGAGAACGAGGAGGAGGAGGAGGAGAAGAAGGACGAGGCGGAGGAGGCGGAGGAGGGAGGAGGTGGCAGAGGAGGAGGAAGAACAGGAGGGAGGAGAAGGCAGAGGAAGACGAGAAGGAGGAGAGGGATCGCGAGGAGGATCAGGACCAGAATCGGGAGGAAGGGTACAAGGGAGGAGGAGGAGGCGGAGGAGGAGAAGGAGGAGGAGGAGGGGGAGGAGGAGGAGGAGGAGTAAGAGGAGGAGGAGGATAAGGAGGAGAAGGAGCAGAAGGAAGAGAAAGAGGGAGAAGGACGGGGAGGAGGAGGAGGAGGAGGAGGAGGAGGAGGAGGAAGAGGAAGGAGCAGGATGATGATGAGGAGCCTCAGAAAATGATGATCAGGTCGAGATGGAGGGACGGGGAACATTCGTTGACGGACGAGTGCGATCGTGATGATGCAGCAACCATGAAGGATGAGTGTGCGCATGGACGATGATGAGAAAGGATGTGAGGGGGGGAAGAGAGGGGAACACGTATGTACGTAGATACGTGTACACATATGTGTATATATATATGTATCGGAACTGATTATGTAGACAGGTCGGGAGGAGCAGGGTACGTTCAGACGAAGCCAGGGCGAGGACAACATCGGGTGAGGACCAATCGAACTCCCTCCTCCCTCATCCCTCTTCCCTCGTTCCTCCCTCCTCCCTCCTCTCCTCCTCCCTCCCCCCTTCTCCCCCCCCGAACTCCCTCCTCCCTCCTAAGACGAAGCCAGGACGAGGACAAAATCGGGTGAGGATAAATCGAGAGTCTTTGAGGTCTGGCGGCTGTGGAGGATGTCTGGGGCGCCGCGGCCTTCTCCGAGCGCTTCGAAAGGCTCTGGAACGGATTTCTCCTCGCCCTGGCCCAGTCCGGTGCGTGCCCGATGGTCGCGGATGTCCACCGCAACGCTGTGGAAGACCGTGACAAATCGGTGTCGCCACTCCAGCGGCCCAGGGAGGCTGTGCAGGTCGGCCACGCGCGTGGCCACCTCGCCAGCCTGGCGGTGGAAATGCTCGGCCTTGCCGCCGAGATTTGCCCAGCATCGATGACAGCCTGGCCCAAATGACCTTCGACCTCTTCTGGGAGGCGCAGACTCGGGTTCGGGGGACTCGAATTGGCCTGACGGGGCCAGCATGAGAATGAGGAGGCCCAATCTGAAATTGGACGCGAACTCCCGCGGCAAACATCCCACAAAAAATGAACCTCGACCGTCAAAATCCAGGACGCGCTCGTCAAAAAGGCGTCGGCAAACCCGGCGTACTCGAGTCCTACGTTTCTCCGATTTTGACCCAGAGCACGCCGAGGCTCGTCAGGACGACGCAGTGGAAGAGTCCCCACAAGTCGCTCTGTGAGCCGGTGGTAAAGGGCAACCCGCCGGCCAGGAGAGCTTGGAACCCGTCAGCCACAGCGCTGTTGTTGACGAGTAGCACGGCCGATCCCAACGAGCACCCAAGAGGCCCCTGGCCTTTGACCCCGGCATGTTGGCGGGACGGGTCGATTGGTAGATGTGTCTTTAACGCATGAAGGCAGACAGAGACAGAGAGAGAGAGAGAGAGCACAACATAGAGAGAGAGAGGCAGAGAGAGCAAGAGAAGGAGGAAAAAGAGGAGGATATAGAAGAGGGAGGGAAGAGGACGAGGAGCTGGACCAGGAGGAGGGGGATGAGGAGGAGGAGGGGCAACGAGGAGGCTGCCAAGCCGCTCAGCGCTGGATGAACTGCATAGAGCTGATAGCGCCGAGGAAGAACACAGTGGGCACCGCCAGCATGTGCACTGCGAGCCACCTCGGGGGAAGGGAGGCCAGTCTCAAGAGGATCATCACACTAGGAGAGGTGTCTGCTCTTCCTCGTCCTCCTCCTCCTCCTCCTCCTCCTCCGAATGTGCCTTTCCTCTTCCTCCTCCTCCTCCTCCTCCTCCTCCACCTCCTCCACGAACCTTTGAAAACAACGACGACGTGTTGTGAGGTCGCCAGGCCGCTGGAGGACTGGGCTTTGGGGAGGAGGCAGGGGGCAGGGCCCAGGTCCTCCTCTTCGCGCGGGGGAAATGGGTCCCGAGGGAGACGGGTCCTGGACACAGTGGGAAACAAAAACAACAACACAAAACAAACACAACAAAACACAAACCAAACACAAACCAAACAAAACAAACAAACACACAGCAGTATGTTTTTGTGTTTTGTGTGTGTGTGTTTACCCCACAGGACCTTTCCTCAAGACGAGACCTTCATCCTGACTCGTTTTCTGCTGGTCCTGGTGCCCATGGAGGGCCCCGAGAGCCCGAAACCGATGGCAAACCTCAGGGCCCGTTTCCCTCAGGACCCGCTTCCCCCACGGCGATCCTCCTCCTCCTCCCTCCCCGTCCTCCCCGCCGCCGTGTGCTGCAGGCAGACTCTGAAGCCCGCGCCATCCCTGGCAGAGGTCAACCGACTGGGTCACCCGAGATCCTCGACCGACCAACCTCGGTGGCCCAGATGGGGTCCTGAGGGATGGGGGCCTCAGGATCGGAGTTTACCCAGCCGAATTCGAGATTGTCAACTCCACTGCTCGCGCAATCGTCCCACCCACCCGCCCGCAACCTGGTTTGCAAAACCCATGCGGCGGCGGTTGCGATGACTGCTCGGCGCTGGCTGGCGCATCGCCGCGGCCGCGCTAGCGCGCATGCTCGCGCACGCAGCTGCCAATTAGTTTTGTGCGACCGATGCGGCCGCGGTGGCGCTGACCGCTGGGCACTTCCCAGCGGGCACTTCGGTGCGAGTCGGCGACGTGGGCGGGCCCGGTATCATGGCAACGTCGACAACGGTAGACGCGATGATGATAATAGTGATGCTCGTGACGATGATGACAGCGACGGCGGCACGGCCAGTCACGGCGCTGATGCTGACCACACCGATGACGATAACGGCGTCCTCCAATCGGTGACGAAGGTTTTGGAAAGAATTCGAAATGCGCGCGCGGACGATTCGCGAGAGTGGCTCGCATGGTGTCATTTGGCACGGACCGTGCCGCCCCCCAAGCACGCGCGCAAAGGCGTTCGAGTGATTCCGAGATGCGACGCGAGAGGCCCGTTTGGCAGGACTCCGTGAAAATGATGAAAATCGATGGTCTTCCTAATTATTCGTAGGACCACGAGCGCAGGTTGTTTTGGAATATTCTTGTTGCGAGAGAAATGTTCCCCCTTTAGAAAATTGTCGGGACACTCGATTGTGGAATCCCTACGGAGCCATACAGGTTTTTGAAATATTTCGGCATACGACGCGCGCGTGGGCACTTTGTCTCATTAGTTGCAAGTCGCTCTTTCGACAGCACGCGCGCAAAGGGCGTTCTTGCAATGCCAACATGCGAGCGCGAGAGACCCTGTTGGTAGCACGTTCTGACAATATTGAGAAGCCCACGGTATTCTTAAGAAGTCGCAGGAGCGCGGGCGCATGTTTTTATGTGTAAAAGAATTATTGTTAAGAGAACGTGTTTTTTGTGGTATGATTTCGGGACGGTCGATTTTGACATTTCTGCGACACCGCAGGTGTTCGACGTATTTCGGCATGCGCGCGCGACGACGCGCGCGAGTGCACTTCGTCGGATAGTTTGCAAACGGTTCTCGGATACGGATGAGTTTTGACACGCGAGTGCGCGCGCATAGTGTTTTTGTAGAAGACGAGGGGGCGGGGGGGATATTGGGTTGGCTGGGATAATACGAACTCATTGTTAGGATGAACGATGGGGCAGATCTTATGTAACTTGCAATACGGAAAAACAGGGGGCGTTGAGTCCAGGGGGTAGAGTTCATATCTCTTGCAGCACGGAGAATGAATCCAAGGGTGGATTCACACTGTTCGAGGCCCCTCGTCCTCAGGACCCCATCCCTCAGGACCCCATCTTTGAACCACCGACGACCGACCCCGCCGCTTGGGCGCGAATTGACGGGGGGCGACAAAGTGGAGGGGCAGCGACCTGCGCAGACGGGGGGCCCTTGAGGGCCCCTGAAGGGGCCCTTCAGGACCCAGAAGGGAGCCTTCAGGGACCGAAGGGCCTTCAGGGCACCTTTCTCTGCCCCGCCTCCTTTGTCGCCGCCCGAGAAATTCGCGCCCAAATCCTCCTCCTCCTCTTCCTCCTCCTCCTCCTCCTCCTCCTCCTCCTCCTCCTCCTCCCTCCTCCTCCTCCTCCTCCTCCTCTCCTCCTCCTCCTCCTCCTCCCCCCCTCCTCCTCCTCCCCCTCCTCCTCCTCCTCCTCCTCCTCCGCCGCCCTCGCAGAGCCACCGGAAGGTGAAGATCGGGTACGCCACCGGTGTGCGCGCGGCCGCGATCTGCGGCTTGGCCTCGGCGCGCCGGGGCACGGCCCCCGCGCGCGCCGCCACCGCGGCCGCGTAGCCGGCGCCGAGGCCCGCGAGGAGGCAGGCGGCGGCGGGCGTGGCGGCCTCGGGGGGGGGGAGCTCCGCTCGGGCGCGGCCTGCAGGGCAGTGTTTAACACGTAGGATTGTTTAACATGTAGGATTGTTGATACATGATTACAGTTGTCGAACAGATGTGTGCACGACCTCATCGTTGCTTTGAATACAAAATTCCCTGCATGTTTTGAATACGTGATCCGCACGCGGAGCATGCATTAAAAACGGCACTGTAGGTAGCCGACCCCCAACAAACCAGCTCCTTCTTTGGCGTCATCCTCGCCCGTCAAGCTTCCCTCCAGCCGCATGCATACGTCCTGGGGGGAGGCGAGGGGGACGTCACGGCAGGGGCAGGGGTCGGTTAGACCGCCCCTGATCCTCCTGCGCCTCCGCCCTCCGGCGCCCGCCTCCCTAAGACGAAGCCAGGACGAGGCTAACATCGGGTGAAGACCAATCGAGAATATATGAGACCCGGCGGCTCTGGAAGATGTCTCGGGCGCCGCGGCCCTCTCAGAGCGTTCCGGAACGCTCTGGTAGCGTTCCGGAAGGCTCTGGAACGGACTTGTCCCTGTAATAGCCCCGTCCGACTCCTCCTCCTCCGCCCAGTCGAGGCGCTGGCGGCGCGGAGAGGAAGCAACCGATGCAACGGGATGGCGCTGTTCTGTAGCGAAGGTGCCGGCTGCGGAGCTACAGGGTCAAGACGGCTAAGGTCAGGCAGCGATGGAACTGATAATAAGAAGAGGGGAAGAGCAAAGGGCAGCTATCACTTCAACCCTGGTCAAGTTCCAATCGGTTTTGCTGGACGACGCTTGCATGCCTTCAACTCTGCTCGACACTCGGCGACGACGACGACGACGAGCGGCGGCCGACAGCGATGAATGAGGAAGAGGAGGAGGAGGAGGAGGAGGAGGAGGAGGAGGAGGACGAGGTTGAGGAGGAGGAGGAGGGTAAGGAGGAGGAAGAGGAGGAGGAGGAGGAGGAGGGGAAGGAGGAGGAGAGGAGGAGGAGGAGGCAGGAGGAAGGGAGGGAGGAGGAGGAGGAGGAGGAGGAGGGGAGGAGGAGGAGGAGGAGGAGGAGGAGGAGGAGGAGGAGGAGGAGGAGGAGCAGGAGGCGCAGGAGAAGCAGGGGCACGACGACGCTCGACGCTCGACGCTCGGTGCTCGGCGCTCGGCGCTCGGCGGACGACGCTCGGCGCTCGACGCCCGACGCTCGACGCTCGACGACGAGCGGCGGCTGGCGGCGGCTGGCGGCGGCTGGCGGCGGCCAGCGACGCGGCCTCCTCCTGCGCGGCGGCGGCCGAAGCGCTCGGCGGACGACGTCGACGCTCGACGCTCGACGCTCGACGACGACGACGACGACGACGACGACGACGACGACGAGCGACGGCTGGCGGCGGCTGGCGGCGGCTGGCGGCGACGAGCCGCGACGGCAAGCGACGCGGCCTCCTCCTGCGCGGCGGCGGCCGAAGCGCCCTGCCGGGGCGTCCTCGCCAGCGCCGCGGTCGCCGAGCGGGTGGCCTGGGAGGGGGTGTCCTCCTTCTGCCACCACCCTCACTCACCCATTCCCTTTTCCCAAAATGCATAACTCCTCCCTGTCGCACCCCCAGGCGTGTCGTCGGTAGGGCGGGCTGGGCGTTTCGCCTGAGACCTCCTCTCCATGTGTGATCTCGAAGCTGGAAACTGGCAACAGCTTTGAGGATGGGGGGCGGCCCGTTTTCAAAATGTAGCTCTGGTTTTAGCGCCGCGCACACTCGTCCTGAGCCTTTGGCAACAGCTTCAAGATTGGAGAGCAAGCCGTTTTCAGAATGTAACCCTCGCCTTTGCGCCGCGCGCATTCGTCTTCACAGTTTTGCAGCCGCTTCCAGGGCTAGCGCGCTTGAATTACCAGGAATGGCGTTCTGGTTCGAGTTGGGAATATCTGGGGCGCAGCGGTCCTTCCGAGTCGCGGCTTTGACGTTCCCAGGGACGGTGCTCTGGCACGAGTTAGAATCGCCAAGGCGCAGCTGATTCGCGGCGTCGAAGCCCCAAGGATGTTCTCTTGGCACGGCGGAAAACTCTCGATAGGTTGTCTTCCCATGGGGCAAGCCCCGCAGTGAAAAACTAGTTATAAGGGACCATGAAAACAGAGCCTGGATGGAACGTGCACTGCAACCTCGTGGACGCGCCTTGGGTCTACCCTGGCCCATCCTCCACCCTCCCCGTGTTCCTCGTTTCCTCCGCCTTCTCCTCCTCATCTTCCTCGTTTCTACTCGCTTCCTCTTCCTCGCGGGGATGCAGTGGAGGACGCGACGGGGGATACAATAATGACGCCCACAAGGAAAGGAACAAGAGGAGGTTGGGAAGGATGGGGGGAAGAGAGAAATGGGGAGCAGAGAGGGTCGACGAGAGAGGTGCTGCGGCATGGCTAAAAGAAACTTCTAGCATGGCTCAAGGGAGCTCCACTGGGCCCACGGAAGATTACGAGGTTCCAGGGGCGTCTAGCATGATCCAATGAAGGAGACAGAGGAGATAGAGAAGTTGAGAGGAGGAGGTGGAAGAGGAAGTGGAAGTGAGCAGATGGAGGGAGTGAAACAATATTTTGGTGATCTTCGAAAGCCCCATGCTTGTAACTAGTTACCATGTGTTCCAAGCAGGCTTTGGAAATCTGGAGGGAGGAGGAGGAGGAGGAGGAGGAGGAGGAGGAGGAGGAGGAGGAGGGGCAGCATTATCAGGAGGAGGAGCAGGAGCACGAGACTGACAGCGGTTTTGGGAAGGATGAGCAGAAGCACGAAGAGCAGCAGGAGGCGGGGGGGGAGAAGGATCGGAGAAGGATCGGAGAAGGATCGGAAACGCAAGCGTTGAGGAGCAGGAGCAGCAGCAGGGAGGATGGTGAGAAGCGAGCGATCGCAGGAGGTCTCCTGAGGCCTCCGGGGACTTGAGCATGCCCTGAATGTCCAAACGCCAATCACATCGACCCTTGAGAAGGAGGAGGGGGAGGAGGAGGAGGAGGAGGAGGAGGAGGAGGAGGAGGAAGGAGGAGGAGGAGGAGGACGGGGAGGAGGAGGAGGAGGAGGAGGAGGAGGAGGAGGAGGAGAAGGAGGAGGAGGAGGACGACGACGACGACGACGAGTAGACGACGGCAAGGACGAAGACGACGACGACGACGACGGCGACGAGGACGACGACGAGGACGACGAGGGCGCCACCGCGGGCACGAACGCCGCAGCGGCGCGGCAGGCCGCTGCCAAGACGAGGAAGCGCGCAAAGGCCATCGCGGGCCCCGGGGCGGCCCAACACCACGGCGAGGCTCGAGACGCGGCCTCGCCGTCCCCGCCGTCGACGGCCTTGCTGTGGCCGTGGCCGTCGCCGTCGCCATCGTCGTCGTCGTCGTCGTCGTCGTCGGCGGCGGCGGCTGCAGCGGCGGCGGCGGCGGCGGCGTCGTCGTCGTCGGCGTCGTCGTCCTCGGCGGCGGCGGCAACAGCATCGTCGTCGCCGTGTTCCTCTTCGCCTCCCGGCTCGTGTTCCTCCACATTCTCGTCGTCGTCGCCCTCCATATTCTTATTCCGGCATTCCATATTAGAATATACTCTTACTCCCCCCTCCGGGCGGCCGATATGGGTTCCATCCTGGCCCTCCCATCCCAACTGGAAACAATATAATTTCGTCGTTTTTTCTACACATGGCCTTTCTTGTCACCGACGATGCGAAATGCGTTGCAGGAATAGGACTCGGCGTACATCGCGCGCGGCCGTCAATCCAGGCCCCCCCATCCCAACTGTAAGAAATCGTCGTTGTTTCTCTCAACATGGCCTTTCTTGTCGTCGACGATGCGAAATGCGCATCGCGCGCGGACGTCTGGGTTTCCCCAAGCGGGATGGGCCATCCTACCTGCCAAAAGCAATACAAATTCGACATGCTTCTTCTGAGTCGGGATTTTCTTGTCGTCGGCGTTGCGAAATGCGTGGCAGGAAGTGGCGCGCAGTGTACATCGCATGTTTTCTGAAAGTTGCGCTCCCGCTAAGGCGCGGCGCGCATTTTTCGCCAGCCAATTCGTCGAGCGCCTAGGGCCCCCTGGGGCCTCCCAAGGTCTCCTGGGACATCCTGGGGCTTCCCGGGGCTTCCCCATGGTATCGTGGATCCTCCTGGAGCCTCCTGAGGCTTCCTGGGGCCTCCTCGGCTCGTGCTGAAATGCCAGCGCAGTCTTTGAGACGCGCCAGGGATTTCTTATCGGTAACCGCCATCGCGGCTGCATCAGCTGTGGCAAACCACCTTGCCGATCTGATTTCGGTCCCCAGTTGCGCCAGCACTGTTTCTTGTTTTGTGGGAGGGCGGCTGGCAATGGGCATGCCATGCTTGACTCGCTCGAGCTGGCCAGCTTGATCGTCCTCTTCCTCCTCCTCCTGTTTTTCGCCATCCCCCTCCTTCTTTACCCACCTCATGCTCTTCGTCCTCCGCCTTTTTCTCTTCCCCTCCGCCTCTTCGCCACTCCTCTCTCCCCTCCTCCAGGTGAGGAGGAGGAGGAGGAGGCGGAGGAGGAGGAGGAGACAGACCTCCAGCACGCTAATGGGGGACGATGAGCAACACAATGGGGAGGAACATGAGGAAGACGAGGATGAAGAGGAGGAGGAGGTGGAGGAGGAGGAGGAGGGGGAGGGGAAGAGGAAGATGGCAAGATACAGGAGGAGGGCGAGGGCGAGGGCGACGAGGAAGACGCGGACGAGGAACAGGAGGAGGAAACGGCGCAGGAGGAGGACGGGAGGATGCTGACGAGGAGGAGCAATAGGAGGATGAGAAGGACGACGACGACGACGACAACGAGGACCCACATGTTCCCAACATTTCCCTGAGGTCTCGACGCTCCCTCTGCTCCTTCCCCCTCCCCCCTCCGCCCCACAATCTCCTCGCCCCCTTCATCCCCTTCTCATTTTCATCGCCGTCACTATCCTCGTCCTCCTCCTCCTGGAGGACGAGAAGGAGGAGCAGGAGGAAGGAAATGAGGCGGACCGGGGGGAGGGAAAACGAGGAGGAGGAGGACGGCTGAAGAGGAGGAGCGGGAGAAGGAGAGAGAAGGAAGGAGGAGGAGGAGGAGGAGGAGGAGGAGGAGGAGGAGAAGGAGGAGGAGGAGGAGAAGGTGAAGGGAGCTCGCCGCGCCCCCGCACAACTCTCTTCTGCACGCAGAAGCGGCCTGGTGTGCTGTGCGGACCGGGCGGGGCGACTCAAATTACGGCGGGCGGCTGGCTGGGCGGCGGGGTCTTGAGCCGAGCGCCGTCGTTGCTCGTCTTCGTTGTAGAATATGGGCTTATCGAGAATGTTAGCCATGACGGGCCTCAAACAGTGCGTTCTAGGCTCCAGACATCGCGTTCTAGAAATGCGCGTGGTGCAAAATATGTGGTGCAATTGATGTTGATCAGCTTTTAACTGTCAACCCCATTGCTCGCGCAATCATCCCGCCCACCCGCCCACCCGCAACTTGGTTTGCAAATCTCATGCGGCGGCGTTGCGATGCGTGCTTCGTGTTGGCTGGAGCATCTGTGCGGCCGCGCTAGCCCGCGCATGCGCGCATACTTTTTGGGTGGCAGAGGATGGCGGGGGGGGGTACTGGCTGGGCTGGGACGGTATGTATTCACCTTTTAAAAGAAAGATGAGGCACAATCACGTGTAGAGCGTAAGCCATCAAAGCGGGCGGATAATCCTGGGGGGGACTCCGAAGTCCTTTCGAAAGAAGAAGATTCCATGAGACGCCTCATGTGGTGCAACCTATGTGATGCAATACATGGTGTGCAACCTATGTGGGGCAATCGGTGTGTTATAAGATGCGTAGACTCATCCATCTTGCGAAATCTACGTTGTGACATCTGTATTGTGCAACCTGTGGTGCGACCTGTGCTGTGCAGTATGTGTGCAAACTGTGTTGTGCAACGTATATGGAACGATCTGTGTGGTGCAGTAAATCTTGTGCACTATATATATATATATATAGTGCAACTTAGGTGGTGGAACCCACCTTATGCATTACATATTGTTCACCGTACGTGGGTAACCTGTGCTATGCAATATACGTGTTTCAATATTTGGTGTGCAATGTATGTTGTGCATCGTTTGTGGCGCAACATATGCTGTTCAATATTTGTGGTGCGGTCTATGTTGTGGATCGTATATGGAACGAGCTATATGGTGCAATCAATATTGTGGAATCTACGTCGTGCAATATATGTTGTGCAAGATACGTCGTGCAATCTACGTGGTGTAATCTATATGGTGCAAACCCACTCTGCTGAACTTGAAGTCGTCATCTCCACTGCTCGCGCAAACATTCCACCCACCCACCCGCAACTTGGTTTGCAAAACCTCTTCAGACCGACTACGACGACACCGACGACAACGACGATGACGACACCGACGACGTCTCCAACGACTTCGACGACGACAACGACGCCGACGCCGACGACGACGAAGACGACGACGACGCCAACGAAGGCGACGACGAGGGAGGAGGATGGACGACGACGGCGACAACGACGACAACGACGACAACGACGAGGGAGGAGGAAGGACGGCGACGACGCGAACGACGAAGAAGGAGGAAGGACGGCGACGCCGACGACGACAACGACGAGGGAGGAGGGAGGACGACGACGACAACGACGACGACGACGACGGCGACGAAATAGGAGGGACGACGACGAGACGCCGACGACGGACGACGACGACGACGAGGGAGGAGGAGGAAGGACGACCACGGCGACAACGACGACGGAAACGACCACGACGCCAAAGAGGACGATGACGACGAACACGAGGAAAGACAGAGGACGACGTAGGCGACGGCGACGACGACGACGCGGGAGGAAGGAGGACGGCGACGACGACGACGACGACGACGCAAGAGCGCGCGCGCACGCCTTTGTTGAAAATCCGTGTTGCGAATCCTTGGGTTTTTTTTATAAGTTTTTTGGACACACGATTTTGAAATCCTTCCGAAACCGATGGATTTTGAAGGATTTCGGCATACGCGCGCGACGACGCGCGCGTCTGCACTTCGTCCCATTTTTGGAAGAGGATTCTCGCGACGGCACACGCGCAAGGGCATTCGACAGATTTCGACATGCGCGCGCGAAGCCCAGTTGGTAGCATTTTGTGAAAATCTGGAAAAAACCTATGTTTTTCTTAAGATTTCGCAAGAGCTCCCGCGGAAGCTTTTTTAGCAAATCAGTGTTGCGAAACCCTGTGTTTTGTATGTTTTTGGGAGACTCGATTGCGAAATCTTTCCGGCTGTGGAGAGCCCCGAGAGCTCGAAAAAACCTCAGGGCCCATTGCTCTCAGGAACTTAGCCACCCCGATACGCAACACACACACACACGCAACAAGTAGCGTGTTGACACGGAGCTCAACATGTAGATCGACAACGCAGGTCTGGCGCGTTCAATTCGCCGAAACGCGGGCCAATACGCCGAGCCACACGCGACGTCTTCAGACAGACGTCTTGAACACGGCACGTGTTGCGTTTCAACACGGGCGAATCGAGGCAGCTAAGCTCAGGACCCCTTTCCCCCATGGCAAGCAGGTCGCCGTCGCCGCAGTCGCCGTCGCTGTCGCTGCCGTCGCCGTCGTCGCCGCCGCCAGCGTCGCCGCCGCGGCCGTCGTCGCTGTCGTCGTCGTCGTCGTCGTTGCCGTCGTCGTCGTTGCCGTCGTCGTGGTCATGGTCGTGGTCGTCGTCGTCGTCGTTGTCGTCGTCGTCGTCGTCGGCGGCGTCGGCGCCGTCGCCGTCGCCGTCGGCGCCGCCAGCCACGGCTCCTTCGCGTCGCACGCGGCGACCCGCACCGCGCCCCGGGCGGCGGCCCGGGAGGCCCATGGGCAGAGAGCCTGCGCCAGGACGGTGGCCTGGGCCCATCGCCGGAGGCCAACTCTCGGAGCACTCCTCCTCCTCCTCCTCCTCCTCCTCCTCCTCCTCCTCCTCCTCCTCCTCCCTTTCCTCCTGCTAGGAGTAGGATGGTGATTGTGAAAAGGAGGAGGAGGAGGAAGAGGAGGTGGAGGAGGAGGAGGAGGACGACGAGGAGGAAGATTTCTGACGCATGTTCTTTTTAACTGGCGCTTCTTCTTCGATGTCGGCCCTCGGTGGCCGCTCGCGGACCTCAGGACCATCAACAAATGGGTCGAGGGCGAAAAACCGGCCCTGGGGAAGGGGTCGGGACCTTCTGGGGCCGCGGGTTGAACAACATCGGATCGGCAGATGGCAGGGATCAAGAGTTTGAGAGACTGGAATTGGCACACATCGCTGGAGAAAACGGCCAGAGAGCACCTCGGCTAGCAAGCTCTCGAAGCAGACATGTTCGGAGAGAGAGGCACAGGCACAGACTTTCGGAGGTCCGTGCGGATCTCTTGGACCGGCGCTGGGCCACCTTTCCTGGGCGCGGAGCGCGCCAAGGGCGACGCCGGAGGCACCGCCGGGGGAGCCAAGCGCCGATCCAAGAAATCCGCGCGGAACTCCTAAAGCTTGGGTTTGTGATGAGATTTGCTTTTTCGAGCCACGGGTGCCGTCTTCGTCGAGGCTCGAATCTCAGAGCGTTTCGACGCGTTCTAGAAACAAACCAAACTTCCGATGAGGGCCGCTCTGCGCTGCCGGGAAGCTAAGCGCCTGCCGGGTAGATGTCTTGCAGATGCGTGTATACATCTATGCATTTGTGTATGCGTTATATATACACATGTCTCTCTCTCTCTCTCTCTCTCTCTCTCTCTTTCTGTCTATATATATATATATATATATATATATGTGTGCATGGCTGGGTGGCGGGAGCCCTGAATCTAAACATTATCTTGGAGAAAGACCCAACCACGTCCAGCTGCGAGTACCGCGAGGCAGGTGGAAACTGAGGGAGGGGGGTGGCTAAAGGACTGAGGCGTGCGTGAGAAAGACGCAGCGGCACTGCTGACGGGGTCGCAGGGGTCAGCCGCAACCCGTCACGGCTAATCTGAGCGCCTATCGGCCCGGACCTGGGGAGCAGAAGGGCGCGGTCTGGGGAGCTGCAGGTGGCGGAACCTCTGGTGGAGCTCCTGTGGGGCCACGAAGCTTGCAGTGGGCGTGCCAAAACAGGCGCGGTCACGCATGCGATTTCTGCCGACGGGGCATTCGGTGGAGCTCCCTATGGGGCCGCAAGATGTGCGAGGGGTGTGCCGAGATAGGCGCGGTCACGCGTGCGATTCCCACCACTGGGGCCTTCGGCGGAGCTCCGTATGGGGCCAAGAAACGTCGTGCGAGGGGTCTGCCGAAATGGGCGCGGCCACGCATGCAATTTCTGTTAATGGGGCCTTAGCTGGAGCTCCCTACAGTCGGGGCCTTGACCTAAGGAACCCAAAATAAGGAACGAGGTCGCTTTTTTTCCATACGTTAAACTTCGATTTCCGATCGAAAACATAAGGAAAACCTGAGGCAAGCTGCGAAACACTTAAGGAACGCGGAGCCCCTCCCCAACGACAAAGGTTCCTTCTTCAGGGCCCCGGCTGTATGGTACTGCATGCGAGGGGTGTGCCGACATGGGCGCGGCCGCGCATGCGATTCCTGCCGCTGGGGCCTTCGGTGGAGCTCCCTATGGGGCCACGAAGCGTGCGATGGGTGTGCCGAACTGGTCTTGAGAAAGCATGCGAACGCAGCCAGTGGGGCCTTTGGTGGAGCCCCCTTATGGGGTCATGGGAAATGTGGTGGCGCATGCGGGTGTAGTTACTGGAGCCTCAGGTGGAGCTAGCTCCCTGTCGGGTGACGAAACGTGCGAGGGGTGCGCCAAAGTATGATGGCGGCGGCATGCGAGCGTAGCCACTGGGGCGTTAGGTGGAGCTCCGCTTGGGGCCGCGAAACGTGTGAGGGGTGCGCCAAAGTGGAGTGGCGGCGGCATGCGGGCGCAACCACTGGGGCCGTTGGTGCAGCTCCATATGGGGCCACGGAACGTGCGAGGAGTGTGCTGGAACAGAGTCATGCGGAGGGCAGAGGCAAGAGATGGGATTGAGGATTGCGAGGGATGAGGGAAGGAGGGAGGCGGCCCGGCGCTGCTGATGCAAAACGAAGACCCGACCGAACATAGGATGGTTGGGAACACATATTTTCTGAGGGAGGCTTGTATTGCTTCCACCGGCGAAGGCGCCACAGTTTTACTCCCCCCAGTTTCTGCCAGCCTTTCCGCCGCCTTTCGGCCGAAGAAGAGACGTCAACATCTCGATCCCTTGACCCTTGAAGACGAGTCTCCTTCTGGAGCGACTACATGTGT